GCAACAAGCCATAATGATTATGCTGAGAGGCAACTGAATCAGTCTGTAGTGAGTTCCTTTCTGGGCTATTAGTATTTTGAACAAATTATTATCTGTTCAATCAATTTAGAATAAAAAACTAAATGATTTTACAATATTTTACCTGCATTTATTTTTTTTCTCTAATTCTTTTCTTAAGTTGATCCAAGTTTCTGACCTATATTATTTCCTTTCTAAATAACTTCTTTTAACATTTTTGTTTTTGCAAAATAGAACTACTGATGACAAACTCCCTCAAATTTTTTCTCCATGAGTATGTCTTTATTTCTTTTTTACTTTTAAAGGATAATTCTTTGGATACAAGATTTTTTGTGTGTGTGGCAGTTTTTTCTTTTATTCCACTCTTATTGCTTGCATGGTTTCTGAGGAGAATTCCAAAATTATTCTTATACATGTTTCTCTATAAGGAAGTTCCCCCCTTCTTGATTCTTTCAAAAATTTCTCTTTGTCTTTTTACTTTCTACAATTGGAATAACATATACTGAAGAATAGTTTTTTATTTGCTTGTTTTTTACATTTATCCTGGTTGGCATTCTCTGAAACTCCTGGCTTTCTGTCTGTCATTTATTTTAGGATACTCTTTCTTCTCCCTTTGATAAGTATATATTATACCTTTTGTCCTCTAGTTCTTAGATATTCTGTTAAATATTTTTTTCTTTTTTTATTTGCTATATAGTTTGGAAAGTTTCTACTAACATTTCATCAAGCTCATCAATTCTTTTCTTGATCATGTCCAGTCTACTGATGAACCCATCAAAGGCATTCTTTATTTCTATTATAGTACTTTTGGTTCTTTTGATTCTTTCTTAGAGTTTTAATCTCTCTGCTTATATAACCCATTTGTTCTTACACACTGTCCATATTTTTCATTAAGTTTTTTTTTTAGCACCTATATATATAAAAGCCTAAGCAACTGAACAACTGGTCGACCTGTTGCTGTCATGCACACTGACCACCATCTCAATGCAGGAGCTGCCCCCTGGTAGACAGTGCACTCCCACAGTGGGAACACTACTCAGCTGACTGATTGACTCCAGATGCCAGGCTCACAGCTGGCAAGCACAGCTTCGGCCACATGACCCTCTCCCATCTCTGTGGCAGGGCTACTGGGGCCCAGATGAGCGGGAGCAGTCCACTCCCCAGCCTGGGCTTGGGCTCCTCCCCAGCCACCTGCCACTTCACATACTACTACATCCCTTGGGGGATGTCAAACTGTTGGTTTCAGCCTGATCCATATAGGCCAGCCTGCGCAGTCCGACATCCCCTGAGGGATCCCAGATTGTGAGAGGGCACAGGCCAGGCTGAAGGACCTCACTAGTGCACAAATCTTGTGCACCTCGCCTCTAGTATTAATCATAATTATTTTAAATCCCTAGTCTGATAATTCCAAAATCACGGTTGTATGTTAAGTCTGGTTCTGATGCTTTTCTTATCTCTTCAGGCTGTGGGTTGTTTTTTTTTGTTTTGTTTTGTGTTTTTTTGTTTCTTTTGTTTTGTTTTTGCCTTTTAATATGCCCCGTAATTTTTTATTGGAAGTCAGACATGATGTATTAGGTAAAAGGGGTTGAGGTACAGGTCTTTAGAGTAAGGTTTTAAGTTTATCTGACTGGGAGTTAGGCTGTGTTCAGTGTCAGCTATAATTGTAGTATTCCTTGCCAGTCAATCTCCCCACCTCTACTCCTTACCCTTTGTTCTTATTTTCCCACCACAGGTTACTTTAGCTATCCTTGAATTTCACATAAAAAGAAGCATACAACATTTACTCTTCTATAGTCTGAATACTTTTATTACTATAGTGTTTTAAGATGCCTCCAGGCCATTATTTTTATGCTTTTATTGCTAAATAATCAGTATGTCATTGTAGGAATAAAGCATAATTTGCTTATTCAGTCATCTGTTAATGAACTATTTGGGTGGTTTCTTCTTCTTTTGGCTGCCATGAATAAAATTGCCAGAACTGGGTTCTCTAGAAAACATTTTAAATTGAAGGTTCGTCTGCATACATGATTCAACCGGTGCTCATGGGATCAATACTTTCTGGGGAATGATGAAAGAAGGATTGGGTTGGTGGAAAAATTGAACTGTAACACAACTAAAGTTGGGTTAGTTCTTCAGGATTGCCCTCTGTGTTACAAATTACTATTGCTGCAGAACAAAGCATACCAAAACTTAGTGGCTTAAAACAGTGACCATCTATTATGTTTCATGGTTTTCCTGATCCAGAATTTTGAAGCAGCTTACCTGGGTAGTTCTGGATCAGGATCTCTCATGCAGTTGCCCTCAGATGGCTGGAACTGGGGTCATTTTAACATCTTCTTTGCTCATATGTGGAGACTGGGCTGAAAAGACTGAAAGAATGGGACAGCTGAAGCTCATCATGCTTCTCTATCTCTGTGTAGTTTCTCTCATTGGTATCTCCAGCAGGGAGGTCTTGGAGGAGACAGGTTTTTCAAATGTCACCTATAGTCTCCCATATATCCTGAGTGAGTGAGAGCCAAGTGGAAGCCAAATTTCTTCTTATGGTCAAACCTTAAAGTCATAAAATATCACTTATTCAATTCTATTGGCTGAGGCAGATACAAAAGTCCATTTGATTCCAGGAGAGGGAACAAACACCCTGCCTCTCAATGGAGAAGTGTTGTCATCATACTACAAGAGTGAGAAGGGGTGCATAGTACAGCTATCTTTGGAAAATATATTCTTTGTGGTATTGAGACTGAGGGATGAACCTTTATTTCCTGGCATTGACCAGCCATGGCATGTACAAGTCTTATGTACAAGTTTTGCATGTCTGTCTAGGAATGGAATTTCTGTGTCATCTTTAGCTTTATAAGAGTCTGTCACACAGCCTCCCAAAATGACTGTACCATTAGAACTTCCCAGCAGCAGCCGAAACTGGTTTGGCTCAGTGGTAGAGCGTAGGTCTGCGGACTGAAAGGTCCCAGGTTCGATTCCGGTCAAGGGCATGTATCAATACCTTGGTTGCAGGCACATCCCCAGTAGGGGGCGTGCAAGAGGCAGCTGATCGATGATTTTCTTTCATCGATGTTTCTAACTCTCTATCCCTCTCTCTTCCTCTCTGTAAAAAAAAAAAAAAAAAAAAAAAGAACTTCCCAGCAGCAATTTGCTAGAGTTCTAGTTGTTATACATCCTCAGCAACATTTGTCATTGTCAGTTTTGTAATTATAGTCATTTTGGTGGAGTGTAAAAGGATATTTCTTTTCACTGTGCTTTTAAATTACATTTCTCTGGCAACTAAGATACTGGGCATTTTCATGTATTTAGTGCCTGTGAATCCGCAGATAACGTCATCAAATATGTTTAAAGGTGTCTTTTTTGAAATGTCTATTTAAGTCTTTTACTCATTTTTTTTTTAAAGGGCTGTTTGTATTCTTATAAGTAATGTGTATATTTCACAACTTACAATTTACAAATTACAATTCTAATTTACAATTCTAGTTTATATTTATGGATACACTTTCCTTGATTATATATATACTAGAGACCCAGTGCACAATATTCGTGCACTTGGGTGGGGGGTCCCACCAGCCTGGCCTGTGCCCTCTCACAGTGCTGTAGCCCTGCAATCAATTGCCCCAAAGAGGTATGCCCTGTTCGCCCATCCAGGGCTCCTCAATGGATTGCCCCAGAGAGGTAGGCTGGAACCGGGGTCCCCACTTCGATGGCATGTGCGCAGGACCGTGGGAAGCCTGCCTCTGCTGGGTGTGCAGCCATCTCGTGACAGTGTGAGGGTATCATGTGTGAGGGCATGATGATTACTTAGTCTTTTATTAGTAAGGATGTAATTTTCTCCTGCTCCGTGACTCCCATTTTTATTTTCTTAATAGTGTCTTTTCATGAGTTGTAGTACTTAGTATTTTTTAAATATATTTTTATTGATTTTTAGAGACAAAGGGAGAGGGAGAGAAAGATAGAAACATAGATGATGAGAGAGAATCATTGATCGGCTGCCTCCTGCACACGCTCTACTGGGGATTGAGCCTACAACCCAGGCATGTGCCCTTGACTAGAATTGAACCCGGGACCCTAGGTCCACAGCCTGATGCTCTAACCACTGAGAAAAACCAGCGAGGGCTGGGTTGCTGTCGTTTTTTACACGACTCTGAAATTGATTTAACTAATAAAAATTCAAGTAAATATATACAATATACCCTTTACTTCTTAATTTATCTTTATTGTTGGAAGTACTATAGATGTCCTCCCCCCCCCCCCCCCCCCCCCCCCCATTGAGCCCTTTCACCCTGCACCCGCCCTTCCAGGCCTTCACCACCCTATTGTCTGTGTTAATGGGCTATGCATTTATATTCCCTGGTTAATCTCACCCCACCTAATCCCACTCCCGCCTTCCCACTGAGAATAGTATTTAGTTTTGATTAAGTTGAATGCATCAATTTTTTTCTTTTATGTTTAGTGCTTTTTGTGTGCTCTTTAAAAAAAATTGTCTTTCTCAAAGTTGCAAAGATATACTCCTATATTTTCTTAGACAAGATTTCTAGTTTTAGCTTTTGCCTTTAGGTCTATGGTCTTCTCAAATTGTGGTATGCTTACTCAGATCAGCACCATTTATTGAAAAATATTTTCTTTTCTAATCGAATTACCTTGGCATGTTTTTTAAATCAACTGAATAATTATGTTTAATCTATTTCTAAACCCATTAAGACTAGCTTTCTGCTGGATTTTCAGCCACACCTGCTGTATGACTGGGCAGTGCCCTTAGTGTGAAGACTGTATAAACTTGAAATATTGTTCAGATTTTGTCTGCTTTTCATTGTTATCCCATGTCCTCTAGTAATTTGTTGGTTTTACTTTTGTCCAGAGTTTAAAATGGTTATCTGTGGGAGGGTTAATATGGTACAATCTACTCCATCGTTATTGGAAGTGGAACTCCTCCTTCCTGTATTCTTAAGTTTAGTTAATTTGTTCATCATCCTTGTCTTCAGATTTAAAGACCTCAGTGTCCCCAACCAAAACTAACCAGTCAGTAAATCGTAATAATCCTATCTCAGGTATGCTTCCCGAATCTATTGTCTCATAACCTCCATAGAGCTACTGCTTTAGATTAGGGCCTCATTTAACAGGCCTTACTTGTCTCAGTCACTTCCCATATTGATTGAGATATCGTCCTAAAAAAGCATTCCTCATTATGTTGCTCACTTGTTTCAGGATCTTTCTAAACTCCTGTAGGATTAAATCCACTTGGCTTGGTCTATATGACCACTCATAATCCAATCTATAACCTGCTATTGCTCCACATAGAACCTGTGTTCCTGATATATTATGTTTTTCTCTATTTCTTGAACATATCAGAAGTTCCCATGTTTTTGTACTTTGTACTTTGCATTCTGCCTTCTTGGGCTATCCATTTGCATTTGGCTTTTCTAGATTTAGTCTTAAAATTCAATTCAAATAACACCTCTTCTGAAAAGTGTCCCTTGGATAGGTTACCTCTGTCCTCAACATCTCTCTTTTATATTCCTACAAATTTGAGTGTCGAGTTGGTTGGTCTGCCTACCTAATTTTATCTATCTATCTATCTATCTATCCTCTATCATCTATTTAAATAGCTATCATCTATGTTATTTATATAATGTTTTCCTAAGTAGATCTTCATCATCTTAGTCAACATGTTGTGTCTTTCAAATATGGGTGTGTTTTTTTGTATCTGTGATGTCTAGTTAGCATTCTTTACCCTATAATGATATTACAAAGAATATATCTCAGCAATACTATTCAAAGCAATAATTTTACAGATGGAAGTTAAAGGTCACAAAACCAATCAGCCACTTTACATATTATTCTGCTTTTTGTTTGTTTGTGTTTTTTTGTTTGTTTTTTTTTTAAGAAACACCTCCCTCCTCAGGAAGACCTTTTAAAGGGGACTGCAGGAATGGTGGAACCTGGCAAAATGGCACATGTCTTTGTACAGAAGACTGGAAAGGACTGAGATGTACAATAAGTAAGTTTTTTTTGGGATAATACTAAGGTGTGAGGTTTAAATGACTGTGTTACTAAAGACAGCAGCAAAATTTTTCAAGGCTTCTGTTAGTGATTAAAGTAACAAAGAGTATAATGATGATGGCTTTAAGATGTATTTGTTAGCTGGATAGCAAGAGTTGAATTTTCTTCTCGGGCTACTTACCTGTATGTTTGATACACCTTGTCTGTTTCCCAACTATCAAGTTTCTCTGTAAACTCAGCACTGCTTTTCTGTCTGGATGCAGTGTCTGATGCAGAGTAATGGGTGAAATTGTTTTTGCATGTCCTTCAACTGGTGATAAGCCATATCACATCATTTCAAATATCACAATTTTTACACATTTAACTTTTCTGAAATCATGATGCATCTTTCTAGCTACATATATACTTGGAGGAAGTTTTTGTCTTTTCTTCCTTTCTCTTAAAGAGATGTTATTAATTTAGTGGTTTGACTTCAATCAAAGGTCTCTCAAGATCGAAGTTCATTGTCACTTGTTGATCTGCAGTGTGCATCTCAGTACTCTGCTTGGGATCCAGGGTTCCAGGAACACACTCCCACCATTGTTACACTCCTACCAGTCAGCATATTCCACATACACACGACTTCGGCTTTGTTTTTGCTTTGACCACATCCTCATGAGGCTCTTTGCCACTCAAGGTTTTCAAGATTTCAACTAATTTGATACATTATTCTTGCTGATGTGTTAGGGATCACATCCTACCTCTGGCAAGTCATATATTGTGCACATTTTAACTGGAACCTGTTATCTAACATACTAGTTATCTTAATGGAAATAACCAAATAAGAAAATATGAAGTTCTTACCCAACCAGTGTTGCTCAGTGGTTGAGCATAGACCTATGAACCGAGAGTTCATCAGATTCCCCGTCAGGGCACAAGCCCAGGTTATAGGCACGCAGGAAGCAGAAGAGGAAACTTATCTTTATGTGGTTCTTCTAGTTGCCAGGCATACTCCCTATAATCTCAATGGTTCTCTCTCATCTATGTTTCTCTCTATCTGTCCCTTTGCTTCCCCCCTTTCTCTCTCTCAAATAAATAAAAATGTATTTTTTTCTTTTCAAAAAGAAAGTATGAAGTTGTTGGTGGGCCAGTCAGTACTATAAATTGTCTATTTCCCTTCACATTATACTGGCAAAGATTTGAATTTTGACTTTTATCTGGTTTGAAATTTGAAAAGAAAAGTATAATTTAAAATGAAAATTTTTTTTCTTTTTATTGTAGTTAATTTCTGTCCAAACAGTACCTCTGGGAATTTTACTTTTGGCAATATTTCAGTGGGAAGATATGGACCTTCCTTGGAAACATGTGGCAGGGACACTCACAATGGTATGTGTTTTTCTAAGTGTCTTCCTTGTTGGCATACAAATCACTGTACTGGTTATGCCTACCATCCCTCCAGCTAGCGTCCGGTTCTTGGGAGAGGCATCAAAGAAGGCTTTGGCTCCCTTTTATGATGCCAACGTTCGAAGTTTAGGGTGTTACCTCACATTATTCTAACTTTTCTGAAAACTTTACTGTGGATCAGCTGTCCATTCCTTTTACTACATCTTCGATTGGTTTATTTTTCCAGCTTATTCTGTCTCCTGGAGTTTGATCAGGTTCACATCTGCTTCTTAAGGTATATAATTCGCCTCAGTGTAAACAAGTAGTTACACTATTGGTTTACGCCATATCTGTGAAGGGACATACACAGGAGCATCTAGTTGTTGTGGCCATCTTTGCAAATGCTCTCTCTGTCTTTTTCTTTTTGTTAAAGCGGGCAGCCCAAGAGCAACCCGGCTGTGCTACCTTACTGAAGATGGAGAGATAGAATTACAAAATGCGACAATAGCAGATTGCAATACAAATCTGGAAACCCTGGGAGAGCAGGTATGCCCTATGGCCCATGTGATAGGCAACTGGAAAAAACCCTGATGGTCAAATCAATGCTATTTATTTATTTATTTATTTATTTATTTATTTATTTAATAAATCTTTATTGTTCAGATTATTACAAATGTGTTCCTCTTCCCTCCCTCAATTGCTCCCTTCCACCAGGTTCCTACCCCACCCTCTGTCCTTTCCCCATCCCCCATTGTCCTCATCCATAGGTGCACAGTTTTTGTTCAGTCTCTTCCCACACCCCTATGCCCCTTTTCCCTGAGAATCATCAGTCGACTGCCCTTCCATACTTCTGATTCTATTATATTCACCAGTTAATATTGTTCATCAGATTTTTTAATTCCCTTGGTTTTTAGAGTCACTTGTTGATAGTTACATATTCGTTGTTCATAATTTTTATCTTTATCTTCTTCCTCTTCCTAAATAACCCCCTTCAGCAATTCATATAATTCTGGTTTGGTGGTGATGAACTCTTTTAGTTTTTTTTTATTTGTGAAGCTCTTTATCTGTCCTTTGATTCTGAGTGATAGCTTTGCTGGGTAGAGTATTTTTGGCTGTAGGTTCTTGCTATTCATCACCTTGAATATTTCTTGCCATTCCCGTCTGGCCTGCATAGTTTCTGTTGAGAAATCAGCTGACAATTGTATGGGTGCTCCTTTATAGGTAACTACCTGCTTTTCTCTTGCTGCTTTTAATATTCTCTCTTTGTCTTTTGCTCTTGGAATTTTAATTATGATGTGTCTTGGTGTGGTCCTCCTTGGATTCCTTTTGTTTGGGGTTCTGCAGGCTTCCTGGACTTGTAAGTCTATTTCTTTCCCCAGGTGGGGGAAGTTTTCTGTCACTATTTCTTCCAGTATTCTTTTGGTATCTTGCTCTCTCTCTTCTTCTGGAATCCCCATAATTCTGATGTTGGTTCGCTTGAAATTGTCCCAGAGGTTTCTTACACTATCTTCAACTTTCTGGATTCTCTTATCTTCTCGCTTCTGCAGAGGAGTGTCCTCTGGCTCTTTGTGTTCTAAATCTTTGTCTTGATTCTTGCGATCTTCCAGTCTGTTTTTAGGACTTTGTATAATATTTTTTAGTTCAGACAATGTTTTCTTCATTTCTTGTTGATCCCTTTTCATATCCTCATAGGTCTCATTTATTTTATCAGCCTTTTTAAGGATATTGTTGCATAATCTTATAACTGTAGTTTTGAACTCAATGTTCAATCTTTTCTTTTCCTCCATCTCCTTCCTTTGTGTCCTTCCTCTTATCTGCATTTTAGTTGTTTCCCTGATTTGTTGGAATAGCTTTGTGTTCTAGGTGTTCTGGCAGAGCCCAGTAGCACAGCTTTCCCAGTTACCTGCAGTGGACAGTCTTGGTGTAGCCCTTTGTGGGCTGTGTGTGTAGTCTTGTTGTTAAGCCTTGCTTATTGTTGGTATCACTGGGAAGTGTTGATCTCCAAGCCAATTGGCTGTGAGGATCAGCAGTGTTTCAGCTAGGAGGGCTTCTGTACTCCGTTTGGATAGGGCGGGGTCTTGGGGTGGTGCAGACAATCTTTGGTTCCCTGTCAGTCTCACCTTAGAAAAGTCCTGTTCGCTGTGAGTTTCATAAGATTGGTTGCAGGCGCGCGCACCTCTTTGGTAAAGGCGCAGACAAGCTTTGGATTCCGGCCAGTCCCTTCTTAGAGAAAGCCAGCTTCTGGGAGAGCTTCTGTGCTCAGCCACAGATGGGACAGAGTCTCGGGTTGGTACAGACAAACTTTATTTTCCCTTTGGCTCCTCCCCAAGTCCCGCAGTAATGGCCCTGGCTTCACACAACTCGGAGAGATCTCTGCCCACTGCCTGACAGTCTGGCCTCTCCTTGACTGGGGCCGTCTATCAGAGCAATAGGCTGATTCTGTTTTCCTCTTGAACAAGAAAGCCAGCCAAGCGTTAGCTGTCTGCCCTCTCCGCTCGCCAGGAATAAGCCAGTAGCAAACTCAGCCCGGCCCACCCTCTCTGCGCCCTAGAGTAAGCCAGCATCTTTTCGCGCACAGTTCTCAGTACCTTCACAGTTCCTGAGGTTCAGTGCGCCTTCTCTCTCCTTCCCAGATGGCAGAGCCTCCTCTCAGTTAGCCATCCGGTGCTTCAGGGCAATGCCTCCCCTGTTTTCCAGTTCTAAATTCAAATTTGTTGTGGTAGGCTGCATTTGGGTGTCTACCCTATTGCCGCCATCTTGGTTTTCTCTCCAAATCAATGCTTTTTAAAACTTTCAAATTAGAAATAACAAAAACTAGTAATTAAACCTTTGTTGTTGTTGTTGTTGTTAATCCTCACCTGAAGATATTTTTTTCATTGAATTTTAGAGAGAGTAGAAGGGATAGAGAAAGAATGGGGGGGAGATGGGGGGAGAGAGTGAGAGATGAGAGAGAGAGAGAGAGAGAGAAACATTGATGTGAGAGAGACACATTCTTTGGTCGCCCCCCCCGCCCACAGAGAGAGAGAGAGAGAGAGAGAGAGAGAGAGAGAGAGGGAGGGAGAGAGAGAGAAACATTGATGTGAGAGAGTCACATCCTTTGGTTTCCTCCCCCACTCACCCCTTCCAGGGCTGGGAATGAACCTGCAACCCAGGTATGTGCCCTTGACTAAAAAATTGAATCCAAGACTCTTCAGTGTGCTGGCCGACAGTCTAACCACTGAACAACACCAGACAGAGCTAAAGCCTTTATTTTTTTTTAAGTTGACATCTATTTGTAAAAAAGACTACTGAACATGTTGGTTCTCCAAATTTCAGCAAAAATCTATAGCACATTTAAAATGACCTCATCATTTTTAAGCCAGTAAAGTTTTGACCAAAATGGATCCCTGACATTTAAGACCAAAAATGAAGGTATTTTGCCTGGCCAGTGTTGTTCAGTGGTTAAGCATTGACCTATGAATCAGGTCAGGGCACATGCCCAGGTTTAGGGCTTGATCTCCAGTAGGGGGCATGCAGGAGGCAGCCAATCAATGATTCTCTCTCATCATTGATGCTTCTATCTCTCTCTTCCTTTCTCTGAAATAAATAAAAATGTATTTTTAAAAAAGGAAGGTATGTTAAGGTTGTGAACCAGAACACAGAGGAAAATCTATGAGGCCTTTTGAGACAGAAAACTCCAGAACCTGATGAGAGTCTCAGAGCTGTATCCCTGAGCAGGTGAAATGGGAAGTACATCTAGGTAAATATATTTTTCCATGCAAATTAAATTATTTTGACTAAGGAGATACCCAAATGCAAATGCTAACACCTGCGGCCAAACAGGGTCGAAGAGGAAACTTCTCTCTCTTCTAGGAAGCAGGCCTGCTATTGATACATACTATTTCCCTTAATTTTCACAGAACCTCTGAGAGCAAGGTGTTATGCCAATAGTGTATATAATTACAGCTAATAACACTCATTACTGAGCACTGACTGCCTGCTAAGTGCTGTGCTGAACATTCTATCACATGTGCTGTTTTATCGTATTTAATCCCTGTAACACCCCAATAGACAAGTATGAACTTACTCATTTTATAGATGAGGAAACTGTGTTTCTGAGACGTGCAGTATTTTGCCTGATAAATCACAGCCAAAAGTGATGGTGCTGCTTTTTGTTTTAAAGTCCGCACTGAACCATATCGGCTCCCTAATTATACATGGGCAGCGGTGGAGGTGGGAGTAGGAGTGGTAGGAGGATATGGAGGTGGTGCCAACCACATAGGTTGTGTGAACCACACAGATTGTGGGAAAGACTTCATGTTCTGGAATCAGACAAAACAGTGTTTGACTATTAGCTCTGCCACGTCTAAGCTGCGTGAACTATGGGTGAGCTCCTTACCCTCTCCAAGGCTTTAAATAGGGATGAGAATGCTCAAGTCAGTGCTGTTTTGCAGATTAAATGTAGTGACACCTGCAAGACACTTAGCAGTGCCTAGCACGTAGCAGGGACCTGGATATGAAATGAGAGCATTGTTACTGTCTACTGATGGAATATTGCTTCCAACTCTTTCCCAAGCTTGAATAGCCTGTGACCTTCATTTGACTTTTGAAATGATATGCTGCCATCTAGCGAAAGACAGAAAGAGAAGGGAGGGAGGGAGGGAGGAGGGAGGGAGGGAGAGAGAGAGAGAGAGAGAGAGAGAGAGAGAGAGAGAGAGAGAGAGAGAGAGAGAGAAAGAGAGAGATGATCTCCAGCCCCACTAATGACAGGAGTAACATGCACAGCAGAGCCTGGACGCCAGTTGGTACCTGAGGTTGTCTAGGTCAATGCTGCCCACACTCTGCTGAAAAGCTAGTTTTAAAATCTCCAACCTATTGTAGACCAATAATCTTGTACAATACAATAAAAACAAATAACTTGGAAAATGAAATGAAGAAGACATAATGTACAAATCCATTTAAAAATTATTATATGCTACAGCATAGAATTGTTATATAAGATTACAGTTGTTATACACATTATACAAGAAAAGAAACAGATCATGAAAAACTAAGTGGGGATTGAAGAGTTTGGAGGCTCAACTACATTCCCGCTCATTCATTTGTAGTTGCTTGAAATGTTTAAATGTAGTTGTAAAAAGTTAGGTTTGCTCTTTTTTTTTTTTAACAGCTAAGTGATTCGTCAGAAAATGCTCCAACTGTTTCTAAACAAGTCCTGATTTTAACATCTAATATCACAAATTTAGAGCCTCAGAACATCACTTCTGCTACTAAAGTGGTGGGACAGATCTTCAACATAACCACAAATGATTCAGCTCAGGTAACACTCATAAGGGTTTTTGAAAAGGGAGGGGAAGAAATAAACTCATCCCAAACTGTATTCCTTATTCCAGGATATAAACTTGGGCATGATTTAGGTTGCTTAGAACCATTTTGCAGAGTACTCTGTCTGAGAGATGCTCAAAGAATTATTTGTCCAAATAATTCTCTTTGAAGGTAGTCACACTGATCATTACCATGTTAAATCTGGGAAGCCTATAACAAGCAAATCTGTTTCATCTTATTAATATGTTTGCCCACTGCATTTGGCCTCAATATCCCTATTCAATTCCAATAATTTAATAAAATTAAATAAAAATTAATTTATTTACCTAGTGAAATGGTGTTACAAGGAACTCACTTTGGAACATGATGTTTTAAGCTGATCTCTTCCTGCTAAGCATATTTGCATTTTAGTTTTAGCTTTTAAAAAATGTAGGCCTTGTTTACATTTCTGATACTATGAACTGCTAAACTCTGGTATCTGAAGAAAAGAACTATAGTCAACGTTTACCAATTGGCACAGCTTGGGTACTGGTCACACAGGCTGTAAGCCACCTAAATGGACAAACCCAGTGTTTACCAATTGAATATAAGCATGACCTGAAAATATACAATATATTCTTCTCTTTAAATGTTTTATTTCAAAAAATGATTTTATGTTATCCTAGCTCCTTTGGAAATTAAGGGAGATTAAAATTACAAGTTAGTAAAACTGGAATTAAAAAATAATGACCTCCAAAGGTAGAATTTGTGGAAGGATTAGCCAATAAAGACAGAAGAATATTAATAATCCCAAAGAGAGCAGCTCAACAGTAACCAAATGCCCAGAGACCCTTTCCAATGTGCTTCTGATGTTTTTAATTGTAAGAAAACTAGAAATAATTTTACTGATTCTAATAGTTACATTAGGTGTAGCTAATAAGTTATATTAAATATTGTAAGCTGTGACGTTCTGATAATTAAAGCCCTTCTTAGTTTGTTTCTGCATGTGTACCCAAGCATCGGCTTTTGTGTTCTTGGGGATGCAGTGGGGGGTCTGTGAAGATCTTGCTCTGAGGTCAAATTCAGAGACCTATGCCTTCTAATTGACTGCCTTAATTTTTATTTTCATTGTGCCTTATCTTTATTCTCTCTGCCATTTTCTGTAGACAGAAAGCTAAGCCTTCAGTTCCACTTGATACCATAATAATCCATGCTAACGAAGGTCATGAGGATGTCCTCTGTGATAACTGGTGTCTTCTTCCCGGCAGGCAAAAATAGATGCTGTCACAACAGTGAGTCAACTTCTAGGTGCCAAAGAAGAAGTTTTTAAAAAAGCTGTCGCTGAAGATGAACAGGTCTTTTCAACGTAAGCACAATTCCAATTTGGAAAGAAAAACCTGACAAAGTGCTGTTTACTTTCCTAGGTTAAAGCATTAATAGAAATGTCTTTATTTCTCTCATGGATGCACTCACTGGCTGATTCCTACGGGATGCAGACTAAAACCTTCTATTTATCTTCAGTGACCAGTGGAGTTAACTCCTGGTTCCAGGTGTGGCCATGGATAGAGAGTAACTGGGATGATTTAGATTAGAACTTGTTTCACTAGCCTCAGCTCGGTATGCCCAAGTGGCAGACAGCATGCAGGCAGGAGCTCCGCATGCTCTTTTTCTCAGTTTACAGAGCTGCAAATAACAGCACAACTTTGTAAGACACATTGGAAGCCTCCCACCCACAACTCAGCCCTCCCCAAGATCCTGGTGTGTTTCAATTAAACTTTCCCATGGTTACATTGGACAACAAAAGGGATCCAACTCTATACCTGTTTTCTTTCTTCTTAACTCATATGTTCTGGATTTCTTTGGGTTGTATATTTAAACTTAAACTCATGTTCTTTATTCATAGAGGCCTCCCATTAGGATTCACTATGTGTGTTTTTTATTTTATATATAGTTTTCTTAATTCTTTTAAAATTTCAGTAAATATGCATGCTCATTATGGAAAAATAAAAAATATATAGATGAGAAAATTTTAAAAAATAATTTTGCATTTGTTAACCTGTTGATATACTGTATATTCTTGTAAAATGTTTTCTCTGTATATGCATTACATTACATAATCTATTGATTTATAACTTGTCTTTTGTCACTTAATAGTATATAAACATTTTATATAAATATCTATACATCTACATCATAAATTTTAGATTATTGCATAAATGAGTGAATTTTTATTTAAGAAGTTCTCTGCCACTGGACATTTAGATTCTTTTAAATGTTTTAATATTTTGAACAATCAACATTCTTATACATAATCTTTGTTTGCATGAGACATTATTTGTTGGAATAAATTCCTACAAATAATTCTCAGTTTTCTAATTATTATAACCAGTACCTATCTTGTGTTGAGTCTTTAAAGTAGAAAAAGAACAAAAGCATGAAATAGAACATTCAAAAGATTATAATTCTGAGAGAGGGTGGTAGAGGTTGTGCAAACAGTTTAACTGTTGTGACGTATGACTTCAAATTTCTAGGAGTGTGGTTACTCCCTTTAAAAAAAAATAATCCTTACCTGAGGATATTTTCCATTGACTTTTAGAGAGAGTGGGAGAGAGAGAAAGAGAGGGAGAGAGAGAGAGAGAGAGAGAGAGAGAGAGAGAGAGAGAGAGAGATGTGAGAGAGACACAATGATTGGTTGCCTTTGCACACAACCCAACTAGGGCCGGTGATCTAGCCTGCAACTGAGTTACATGCCCTTGACTGGAATCAAACCCAGAACCCTTCTGTCCACAGGCCAATGCTCTATCCATTGAGCAAAACCAGCAAGAGCCACTCCCATTTTTCTTGAAGCTGGAGAAGGATGTGGCCATGGGTCCAGAGTCTTTGTTGAGGGAACATGGAGACTGAGTCCCTTCAGAGCTGAGGCTCTGTGTTTGCAGTCTTGCTAGAAGGAATGGGGAGTAGTGGATGCTTTTGGTGAGAAAGCTGAGGAAAGAGATGTAGGACTTGGCTGAGAAAGTCACAGATCATGATGCAGATGAGAAACTTAATAATAAATAATTATGAATTTTACTGGCTTAAGACATGGAGAAAAAAGAATTTTGTGTGTAATATCCAAATGACTACAGAGGATAAATGACAATTTTAAATATAGATCACTTTGAAATATGAAATAATATAACCACACTCAATTCCTTCTTTCTCCCACTCTAAATTTCTAGTTTGTCTTTCTAATCATGGTCTATCAGTTTACCTTCTCCCATGGGATCTTTACGTAAGTCCTGTGGACTCAGCTCCTTCATTTCATCTCACTATAGTCCCAAGGCCAGGTCACCAGCCCCTTAGCCCTCCTGAGGAGAATATTCTTGATGAGCTGCCATCAGAGTCCATCTCTCGCTTTCTTCTCTCCCCAGGAAAGGAAACTAATTGCTGCTTGGTGCAACTCTTCTTTTCCAAACTCTATCCCTTGAGTCTCCTCACAGGCACCAGGCTTTAGTCTTCCATCTCACCTTGTTTTCTTCATTTATAGTTTCTTCTTTGTACCCTTAAGCTACTGAGCTTCCTTTCTACACTTAGTGAGAAAAGTGTAAAGAGTGAGAGTACAAAGAGAGTGTCAGGGGAGAAAGAATACATTTCAGCTTTATTGTAAACAGGCACGTGGAATCTCCTGGGAATCTAAGAACAATTATAATGGAGTAGGAGGGTGGCAAGGCCTCAAGGCAGCTTTGAAGGTCTCAATAGAGGAGTTTGTGGTTTTTTCCTCTGGATCAATAGCCTTTGGAGTCAGACAATCTTGAGTTCATATCTTAGTGTTGTTATTCATTGGTTTTGGCTGAATTACTTCATACTCTTTGAAGAGCCTCAGATTTGTCAATGTGATATGGGAGTAATTTCAGATTCTACTTCAGTAGGGTTTTTGTGAAGCTAAAATGAGATGGTGTGTGTAAATCACTAGCATACCTGACATATATATATATATATATATATATATATATATATATATATTTTTTTTTTTTAAGTCATGACTTTCTTATGAACCTGCAATATTTGGTTATGGGTCAATGAGTTCAAAGTTCTGTTGTTCCATAGTTCCGTATGAACTGTCACCTCAAGAATGGACAACTTATAAGAAATGCTTTGGATCCCAAAGGGTTTGGGTTAGAGGAGGGAGTTGAATAAGTGGAAATTGAGTCTTACCGCTGGAGAAACAAGAATCTCATGCCTGGCCAATGGTGGGTGGCAACACCATCCTTCTGTGTGAAGAGTAGCATGATAAAGATTATTTCTATTGGGAAATTTGTCATTCCAACGTTCCAACCTTATAGCATCAATGTAGAAGGTACCATTCAGTGGAGATAGTCCACCAGAGCTTTAAAAATAGGTGTATATAACAAAGGAAGACTCTGCTAAAGAAATCAGTTATTTTTGAAAGATAAGACATAGGGCTGAAGACCAGGACTACAGGCTTTATTAGAGGAGAAGGATCCTGCCAGGCTGCCTTGCAAAGGAAGAGAGCACACCTGCACAAGTGAATATGCCTTTTGAGGGGAAGAACTGGAAGGGATGGGGCTTAGAGTACTCAGCATGCACTGATTGGTGGTTTCATATAAGGCACATGGTTAGGCACTTAGGTACTTAGGAATCAAGGGCTTAGGGTATTTGGCAGGTGCTGATTGGTGGTTCAATGTACAGTCCATATAAGGTGCCTGGTTAGGTGCTCAGGAATGTCCAGGCAGCAGGTGCAGTTTACATCGTACTTCGTCCATCAGTTGGGGGAAGGGAGGATCTATTGATTTTTAGATGATTATGTTAATATTGCAATCTGATGAGTTCTGTGATCATACCTTTCTACTGGAGCCAGGGAGAGAACATAGTACACACACCTCTGATTTTACAATGAGTCTCTTGACAATCATAGTGTTATGTTTTATTCTATGCAGGCTTGTTACTCAAATGGAGACCTACTCCTGGTCTTTGGGCAATAATTCAGTGGTGAACCCTAATATAGCAATACAGTCTTTCTCTTTACCTCCAGAAGACACTGGGGAGTCTACAGGTGTTCTCTTCACTGTGGACAAAGGTGAGCTATTTGTTTTCTGTGCTTATAATACCAGAGAGCATTCTGCTACTAACCATAAATAATGATTTATTCAAGAAAATCTAGACTTTTGAAATATGCTTTTTTCCCTCTCATAGGAGCTAGCAATTCTCTTGTTTCTGGTTCCACAAGTGTAGAATCAAACAAAGACGGTGTTCATCCAAATAAAACGACTGAACTTCAGATCTGGCTCAATACACCAAAAAGTAGGTCTCAAACTCTGTTATATTAAAAAAAAAATGCACGCAAATTCATGGAATTAATAATTTAAAAATCACCGAGTGCAAAATAATGTTTACATAGTTTCAGACGGAATAATTTTCATTTGAGTATGTTAGATCTCTTCCAGATTATGGTAATCTCTATGATTCTAGGTCATAGAGATGATTACTTTTCTCCTTTCTTCCTTTTCAAATATATATATATTTTTAAAAAATATTTTATTGATTTTTACAGAGAGGAAGGGAGAGAGATAGAGAGCCAGAAATGTCGATGAGAGAGAAACATCGACCAGCCGCCTCCTGCACATCCCCACTGGGGATGTGCCCGCAGCCAACGTACATGCCCTTGACCAGAATCGAACCCGGGACCTTTCAGTCCGCAGACCGACGCTCTACCACTGAGCCAAACCGGTTTCGGCTTCAAATATATTTTGGAGGATAGCAGAATTGAAATGCCCTGGCCATGAACACAAATCTGTGTTCTAATAAAAACCTACCTTTTTTAATGTGGCTCATTAAAAAAAAACAAAACACATTTGAAAAATATTCAGTCACAAGCTCTGTCCATGGCACTCACATACTGGGATTCATCCTGTACACCTGTGCTGGGGATATTTTAAATAATTTACACAGGCATCATTTATTTTTATTTTTATTATTTTTTAAATATAAATATATTTTAAAATATATATTATTGATTTTTTTTTTGCCCCTACACAGGCATCATTTACTAGTAACTATTTTAAGTTATTTCCACTAATATGGTGCCAAGCATGGGCTCTCTACCCTCTTGCACATGACCCTGCAGAAATTCTTATGTCTAACTTGAAATGTTCATACTTTAAAAAGTTTGACTGATTCTTTTAAAATAATAATATGCAAACCACACACACACATTTATACTTATATTTCTCCCTTAAAAAAAAGCAAAAGAAACACAATGCTAGAATGAAATTATTTTGGAAAGACTAAGTTTTTGTTTCTCGTCGGTTACATAGTTCTAATTGGTTAATAAATCTTTATGGGTCATAGAAGTTGCAAATATCTTCCTTCCAGTCTATAGTTATCTTTTGCTTGTTTTTTAAAATTTATATTGTGTTTACTTATAAAAACTAATTTCACAGTTATTAACAGAGTTAACATGTTAAAGTGAATTAAGTATGAGAATAACCTTTTTTTCTTTTGTTGGTTTTTAATGTCTTCTGTCATACCCAAATTTTAACTTGCAATGTATCTTTTCCTCTATAATTGGCATCTTTTAAGAGAAATCCTTTCCTGTGCTAAAGTCACAATGATAGTTTCCTATATTTTCTTCTGGGTTTTTTAGTGTTTACATTTAGGTCTCAGTACACCTAGAATTTGTTTGTGTTTGGTAGAAGATAGGGATCTAATTTTTTCTTTCATATAAACTATCAATATAGTTGAGTGGCTTAAAAACACACAATGTCTAAAGAAAAAAACCCGCAGAATGGACTGAAAGGGACATATTTTTTTATATAGATTTTTAAAATTTTCTTTATTAAGGTATCACATATTTGTCCTTATCCCCCCATTCCCATCCCAAACCCCTCCCCAAGCATGCCCCCATTCCCCTGTTGTCCGTGACCACTGGTTAGGCTTATATGCATGCACACAAGTCCTTTGGTTGATCTCTCCCTCTTACCCCCATCCTCCCCTACCTTCCCTCTGAGGTTTGAGGGTCTGATTGATGCTTCCCTGTCTCCAGTTCTGTTTTTCTTCATCAGTTTATGTTGTTCATTATTTCCCCTAGATGAGTGAGATCATGTGATACTAGAAATACTCTTATAAGAACTGAAAATGAGACAAGCATTATATTGATTTTTAAAATGCTTCTAAATTTATCTATATTTTAATTCTTTGTTTCCTTAAAAACATATCATTCAAATGTATGGGCAAAAATTATTGAAAATACTTTTATAAGGAGAGAAATTAGGACAACTATCCCAGAAATTGAAATCAAGTAGACAAAAAATATCTAATAAACTTGACCTTTATATAAACTTACACATGTGTGATTTTGTTTGTAGACAGAAGATGCATAGTAAAAATTATTTTCAAATATCAAAGGAGTGCTTTAAAAACCGCCCATTTATTAGGCCACATAGAAAAGTTACATATATAGTAAAATAAAAGTCACATAGGATATAGTTACTGATCATCCAATAAAAGTATATATGTACCACAAAAGAATAGCTAAATTTTGTCCAATTAGAAATGTTAAAGCACCATTGTTAGAAAGGAAATTAAGGGGCTAATTACAAAGTACTTAAAAATTAATGGCAATGAGAACATCAGAGATCAAAACCCATGGGATGTGGACAAAAATGAATTTAAAGAAAAATATATATGCTTAATAAGATAAGTAGAAAATAAAAGAAAGTGTTAAAAGTAAACAAAGCATTCAGCTAAGAGGCATAGAAATAAAATAAATGTAAAGGAAACTAGAAGGAAGGGATTAATAAATACAGCGGTAGAACTTAATAAAAATAAAATTAACAAATGCTAGACTTAACAAAATGAAAAATTGTTGAAAAAACTGATGAAGGCCGAAACCGGTTTGGCTCAATGGATAGAGCGTCGGCTTGGGGACTGAAAGGTCCCAGGTTCGATTCCGGTCAAGGGCATGTACCTTGGTTGCGGGCATATCCCCAGTAGGGGGTGTGCAAGAGGCAGCTGATCGATGACTCTCTCTCATCGATGTTTCTAACTCTCTCTCTCCCTTCCTCTCTGTACAAAATCAATAAAATATATTTAAAAAAAAAAAAAAACAAAAACTGATGAAATACATAAGCTTTTAACAAATTTGATGGAGAGAATATAAATAAAGAAACATGAAGGAGATGTATCTAGAAATATGGAGATTGTTTAAAATTATAAGATAGTGGTACATACATTTTTTTCTAATGAATCTGAATATTTAGATGAAATAATGATTTTCTAATAAATGACCAAAAATACTTTAGGAATGAAGAGAGGGGTGATAGGGCCTTCTATATGTATGTATGTATGTATGTATGTATGTATATATTGGATTGATTGATTGATGAGAGAGAGAGAGAAAGAGAGAGAGAGAAGGAGAGAGAGAGAGAGAGAGAGAGAGAGAGAGAGAGAGAGAAGAAAAGAGAGAGAGAGAAAGAGAGATATTTGTTGTTCCACTTATTTATGCATTCATTGGTTGATTTTTTAAAAATATATTTTATTGATTTTTTCAGAGAGGAAGAGAGAGGGGTAGAGAGTTAGAAACATCGATGAGAATCATCGATCAGCTGCCTCTTGCACACCCCCTACTGGGGATGTGCCCGCAACCAAGGTCCATGCCCTTGACCGGAATCGAACCCAGGACCTTTCAGTCCACAGGCCGACGCTCTATCCACTGAGCCAAACCGGTTTCGGCCATTGGTTGATTCTTATATGTGCCCTGACGAGGGACCAACCCCCAACCTTTGAGTATTGGAATGAGGCTCTAACCAACAGAGCATCCAGGCAGGGACATCTTTTAATCATTATTCTTCTATAGATTTGTATTTTATATCAAGCATGCCGTTCTTTTTATAAAAATAAGAGGAAGCCTTCTTGCATTTTTAGGGTTAACTTTCTCCTCTAGTGTCCATAAAGAGCAATTTTAATGTGCCACGAAAAAGTCCTAGAGCCCTGGCCTTGTGATTCAGTTGGTTGGAACTCTCTCCTGTTTACTAAAATGTTGCAGATTCAATTTCCAGTCCCCAGTTAGGTATATGGGAGGCAACCGATGGATGTTTCTCTCTCATATCAATGTTCCTTTATCTCTATTCCCCCCATCATCTCTTTCTAAAAATCTTAAAACTTATCTTCAGGTGAGGATTAAAAAGACCAATGTCTTTATTTTTATGTTGAGGCTAGAGCAATGGGGTTGCTCTAGCCTGTGGAGGACATTTGATGGGTGTCAGGACCTTGCCTGCTGATTTCTCAAATTGCATGACTGAATAGATTGGTCTAACTGCCACTTTTTTAGTTTTCTGTGTATCCTTTGTAAACGAGAGCACAGTTTAGGAAATTAATTCAGTTAAAAAGTATACTTATTGTTGGTGCTTCTATTATTTAAAATATGGCCAATAGCTATATGAAGTGTTAGGAGATATTCTTTAGGTAGTTCTGTTTGACCACTGCCCTGGCAAGCCTTGCTATAAAACCCTTGGCTGTGGCCATGTTCTCCTAAGATCTCTAAGGAACAGCTAAGCACCTTTTCCAATGTCCTGAAGATATGTGCCACAATAGTCTTTCAGCTCTGGGAAAGCTTGTAATTTTCATGAAACAGCAGAGACCAATAAGTAGTTCAAGAAATGATGAAAGAACCCTAAAGATTCCACCAAAAAACTACTAGAACTGATAAATGAATTCAGTGAAGTAGCAGGATACAAAATAAATATCCAGAAATTAATTAATTAATTTATTTTTTAAAATATGTTTTTATTGATTTCAGAGATAAAGGGAGAGGGAGAGAGAGAGGGAGGGAGGAGAGAGAGAGGGAGAGAGAGAGAGAGAGAGAGAGAGGGAGAGAGAGAGAGAAAGAGAGAGAGAGAAATATCAATGATGACAGAGAGTCACTGATTGGCTGCCTCATGCACGCCCTCTCCTTGGGATCAAACCTGCAACCTGGAATCAAACCCAGGATGCTTCAGTCCATAGGCTGATGCTCTCTTCAATGAGCCAAACCAACTAGGGCAGAAATTAGTTGTACTTTTATACACCAATAATGAACTACCAGAAAGGGAAACTAAAAAATCAATTCCATTCATAATTGCTTCAAAGAGAATAAAATACTAGGAATAAATGTAACCAGGATGTCAAAGACCTGTACTCATAAAATTATAAGACCGGAGAAAGAAGTTGAAGAATTTTCAAATAAGTGGAAACATATACCATGCTCATGGATAGGAAGAATTAACATCATTAAAATGTCTATACTATCCAAAGCAATCTCCAGATTCAATACAATCCTTATCAAAATACCAATGGCCTACTTCACAGAATTAGAAAAAAATATTCCAAAAATTCATATGGAACCACAGAAGACTTGAATAGTCACAGAGATCTTGAGAAAGAAAAACAAAGTTGGAGGAATCATAGTACCTAGTATCAAACTATATCACAATGCATAGTAATCAAAACAGCATGGTACTGGGCCCTAGCTGGTTTGGCTCAGTGAATAGAGTCAGCCTATGGACTGAAGTGTCCTACATTTGATTCTGGTCAAGGGCATGTGCCTGGGTTGTGGGCTTAATCCCCAGTAAGGGGCAGCAAATTAGTGATTCTTTCTCATCATTGATGTTTCTATATCTCTCTCCCTCTATGAAAGAAATTAAAATATAAGACTAAACAAACAAAAGAAACACAGCATGGTACTGGCCTAAAATCAGACATATAAATCAATGAAACAGAATAGAGAGTCCAGAAATAAACCCAGGTCTTTACAGTCAACTAGAGTCCTGGTGCACAAAATTTGTGCACTCAGGGGTGGTCCCTCAGCGTGGCTTGCACCCCCTTGCAGTCTGGGAGCCCTCAGGAGATGTCCGACTGATGGCTTAGGCCCAGTGCTGGGGGAATAGGCCTAAGCCGGCAGTCACACATCCTGAGTGCTGCCACAAAGGTGGGAGAGGCTCTTGCCCCTGCTGCTGCCACTGCAGCTGTGAGCCTGGCTCAGGGCTTCTGGCTGAGCTGCGCTCCCCCTGTGGAAGCACATTGACCACCAAGGGGCAGCTCCTGCTTTGAGCATCTGCCCCCTGGTGGTCAGTGTGCATCCTAGTGACTGGTCATTCTGCTGTTCAGTCAATTTGCATTTCAGCCTTTTATTATATAGGATTACTATTTGACAAAGGAGGCCAAAACATAAAATGACCTAAAGATAGTAGATTCAATAAATGGTGCTGAGAAAATAGAACGGATACGTGCAAAAAATGTAACTAGACCACTTTCTTACAATAGACACAAGAATAAACTCCAAATAAATTAGAAACTTAAATTTGAGGTTAGAAAACATAAAAATCCTAGAAAACATAGGCATTAAAATCTTGGACATTTCTCTCTCTATTTTTTTTTTTTTAATTGATTTCACAGAGAGGAAGGGAGAGAGAGATAGAAACATCAATGATTGGCTGCCTTCTGCACACCCACACTGGAGATTGAGCCCACAACCTGGGCATGTGCCCTGACTGGGAAACAAACAGTGACCTCCTGGTTCATAGGTCGACCCTCAACCACTGAGTCACATAGCTGGGAATTGGATATTTCTTGTAGTAATATTTTTTTCTGATATATCTCATCTGGCAAGGGAAACAAACAAAATAAACAAATGGATCTACATCAAACTAAAATTTTTTTGTACAGAAAAGAAAACCATCAACAAATTGAAAAGATAACTCACTGAATGGGAGAACAAGATTTGCCAATACATCTGATAAAGACTTAAAATTCAAAATTTATAAAGAATTTATAAAACTCAATACCAAGAAAAACAAGCCATCCATTTAAAAAATGGGCAAAGGACCTGAATAGACATTTTTCCAAAGAAGACATACTGATGGCCAATAGACATATGAAAAGATGCTCAACATCACTAATAAAAATGCAAATTAAAACCACAATGAGTTATTACCTTACACCTGTGAGAATGGCTATCATCAGTAAATCAACAAACAAGTATTAGCAAGGATGTGGAGAAAAGGGGACCCGTATACACTGTTAGTGGGAATACAGATTTGGTGCAGCCTCTGTGAAAAGCAGTATGGAATTACCTCAAAAAATTAAAAATGGAACTGCCTTATAACCCAGCAATTCCACATCTGGGAATATATCTGAAAAAAACAAAACACTAATTGGAAAGAATATATGCACCCCTATGTGTATTGCAATGTTATTTATAATAACCAAGATTTGGAAGTGGCCCAAGTGTTCATCAGTAGATGAGTGGATAAAAAAGTTGTGGTACATTTACACAATAGAATACTGCCCAGGTGGAAGAAAGAAGAAGAAGAAGAATTAGAAGAAGAATTAGAAGGAGAATAAAAGAAGAAGAAGAAGAAGAAGAAGAAGAAGAAGAAGAAGAAGAAGAAGAAGAAGAAGGAGGAGGAGGAGAAGAAGAAGAAGAGGAGGAAGAGGAGGAAGAAGAAGAGAAGGAGGAAGAGAAGGAGGAGGAGGAGGAGAAGGAAGAGGAGGGGGAGGAGGAAGAGGAGGAGGGGGAGGAGGGGAGGAAGGGGAGAGGAGAGGGGGGATGAGGAGGGAGGTAGGAGGGGGGGAGGAGAAAAAGAAGAAGAAGAAGAATCTGTTACCTAAGGTGACAGCATGGATGTACCTGGAGAGCATTATGCTAAGTGAATTAAGCCAGTCAGAGCAAGACAATTACCATAATTCTATATATGATTTCACTCATATATGGAATCTAATGAACAGAATGAACTTATAAACAAAATAGAGACATACTCATAGATAGATGGGCTGACAGCTGTTGGGAAAGTGCGGGACTGGTTAATGGGGGAAGGGATTGAGAAAAAAAGAAAAGAAAAGAGAAAGAACTCATTGACACAGACAGCAGTATGGTGATTATGGGGGTGTGGCAGAGGGTGGAGGTGGAAGAGGGTATAGGGGGGATAAATGGTGATGGGGGAAAAATAAGAAAGAAAAAGATCAATGTTTGCAAATTATATGATCATTAAAAAAAAAAAAAAAAAAAGAGAGAGATGATGGAAAGAATCTGGCTCCATTGAAAGAGTTCCTGATAAGAACAATTTGAACTCCTGGCTCTGTGACTTAATAGACTGGTCCCTGCTCAGTCCCTTTGAACCGGAGGCAGACTTCACAGAACACTTTTGTAGGCACAGCTGTCCTGATATTCACCCTGTGCTTTTTCCTGTCCCATGTCTTTATCAGTGTGGGAAGCAAATAGGCTTGACCTACCTGCAGTCATGTTCACTCTGTCTTGCTGTATAGAAAGCGAGATGTTTACTTAATAATGAGATCTTTGCAATACCTCTTTGAGGTGGATTAGGCAGAAATTATTGTTCCCATTATATAGGTATGGAATCTGAGCCCCAGGAAAAAAATTTAATGTGGGCGGAATGGCCAACCACGAGATTTTGTATGTTAACTAGAGTTTGTGCCCTGGGGTGGTGTTCCCCAGCCTGGCTTGCACCATCTCACAATCTGGGACTCCAAAAGATTCTTAGCACTGCTGCAAAGGTGGGAGAGGCTCCTGCCACCAGCTGTGAGCCCAGCTTCTGGCTGATCGGTGCTCCTCCTGTGGGAGCACACTGACCACCAGGGGGCAGCTCCTGTGTTGAGCATCGGTTTTCTGGTGTCAGTGCTCATCATAGTGACTGGTCGTTCCTCTGATCGGTCAATTTGCACATTAGGGTTTTATTATATAGAATTACATATTTCAATTAAGTGAAGGTTCAGCCAGCAAATCATTTTTTACTGTTTAAGTCAATATTCAACAGCTGTGCAGTTCAACAATGACACGGGACTTTGTTTCTTATTTATTCTCCGGTTCATTTATTGATTTTCATGTCTTTTTTTTTCCTTCACAGGTAATGCCACGTCATATGGCTTTATAGTGTATCAAAACAGCAAGCTTTTCCAATCAAAAATTTTTAAAAGTACATCAAATGACAGTATAAGAGTTGTCTCAAGCACAGCTAATAACACTGGGAACAAACAGAATATTTCTGTCCAAATGGCCTTTCGTCAACAGGTGAGTGTTCCCATGAACAAATTAAAAATTTAGCCAACTCTTTTAAAAAAACAAAATATATATATTTTATTGATTTTACACAGAGAAGAATTTAGAATTGAGAGAGATAGACATTTAGAAACATTGATGAGAGAGAAACATTGACCAGCTGCCTCCTGCATACCCCCACTTGGGATGTGCCCACAACCAAGGTATGTGCCCTTGACCAGAATCAAATCCTGGACCTCTCAGTCCACAGGCCAATGCTCTATCCACTGAGCCAAACCGGTTTTGGCAAATTTAGACAACTTTTATTATGAAGCAGGGATAGTGTGGGCAAAAGGAAGGTGCAGAAAACTCCTTGAGAGTCTTTTTTTTTTTTAAAGTATTCATTTAAACCTTCCATATTTTTTTTTTGTCAGATTAACTAAATGAAAAATTGGCTAATTTGAATTTTTTTTTTTTATATTTCCCCCCTTAATCTATAATGAAGATGTTATGCTTAGTACATATCGGATTTCTCATATGATTATCTTAACCTTTTTGATTTTTTCTACCATGTTAAGCATTTAAAAATCAGTTGCAATTGTCTTATCAATTCACAGTACACTAAAAAGAAGTTCCAATCTTATGCCTGTGTCTATTGGAATACTACAAAGAAGGATTGGGACACAGATGGCTGTTTCAAAGATGTAAGCAGGGATAAGGTGCTGTACTGCCGCTGTAACCACACTACAAACTTTGCCGTGTTACTGGTAAGGATATATAGTGTAATCGCTTTCCAGACAGGAGTTTTCCTTACACCTAATTCTGGCATGTGCTAATTGAAGTTAACGTTGGTGTTTAGTTTACGCAAATCAGATTAAATGGAAAAAAAGGGAGGGGATGATGTAAGACTAAAAAGGCAAAGACAAGTAGAATAGATTCAATTTGTCCCAGAGTTACTGTATATATTTCATAGATCGTTTAACTCCAGAGCTACCTTGTGTAAGTAGCTGATAACATACAACTTCAGTGTGCAGCTTTACTTCACTTCTGAAAGTTCTCGGGTGGCCCCTTTAAGGAGAGGGGCTACTCTTCGTTCCATTTCCAAAAAACTATTATTTTGGTGACACCAAAAATGTTAATGCATATTCTTTTTCTTTTTCTTTTTTTATAGATGTTGTATTTTGTCAAATGCTTTTTCTACCTCTATCAGGATGATCACATTTTTAAAATTAACATATTTTATTGATTTTTTACAGAGAAGAAGAGAGAGGGATAGAGAGTTAGAAACATCGATGAGAGAGAATCATCAATTAACTGCCTCTTGCACACCCCCTACTGGGGATGTGCTCGCAACCAAGGTACATGCCCTTGACCAGAATCGAACCTGGGACCTTTCAGTCTGCAGGCCAATGCTCTATCCACTGAGCCAAACCGGTTTCAGCTTAATGCATATTCTTGATGAAATGTGTGCCTTACCCTTAATTAAGGTATTACTAATGCTGCAAATCTCCCAAAGGGAAGCTGAAGTTTTCTTTCTCTAGTAACCATGATGTATTTGGGAAGCCAGTGGAGGTCAGAATACATTGGAATAACAGAGACTATCAAATTAGAGAACATTACTCTTTCAATGTTTTTGAGATAACTACAGTTTTCTTATTTTAATTATAAAATCTTAGTTGATTTTGATTGTTTGTTGTCTAACTTGTATTACAAAGATCTTCTTTCTCAATCAGGACATAATAAAAATAAAATTTTAACTTTTTTGATAGCTCAGACTGCTATGCATAGTACATCGCCATATTCTTTTTTCTTTTATTTTAAGGTTAGGTTTTCAACTATTTCTTTTCACTAATATCTGAGCATGCCTCAATGACTACCTACTCATATTTACAATTAGTTTTGGGTTGCAGAATTTAAAAAAAAAAGGCTAATTAGAATTGTTTGTAGCATAAGAGCATGTGGGAGCTGAGTGAGTAGATGATTTCTGAAGATCTATGTATTCTGATTCTTTGTCAGCATAAAATTTTTGTTTTATTATTATTTAAAGTGAAGTTTATTTTTGTTTTTACTTCTACAAAAGAAACACATATTCACTGAATAAAGAATGAAAGTTTATCTACTGCACAGAAATATACTGATATGGAAAATTTTTATGAGATCTTAAATAATAATCCAAAAACAATCCTATTGCCGAAACCGGTTTGGCTCAATGGATAGAGCGTTGGCTTGGGGACTGAAACATCCTGGGTTCGATTCCAGTCAAGGGCATGTACCTTGGTTGCGGGCATATCCCCAGTAGGGGGTGTGCAAGAGGCAGCTGATTGATGACTCTCTCTCATCGATGTTTCTAACTATCTCTCTCATTTCCTCTCTGTACAAAATCAATAAAATATATTAAAAACAACAACAACAACAATCCTATTATGTTAATAACCCCTGTTGTGCAAAAGACATAGTAATATTTATAAGCACATTTAAAAAGGTCACTTCTTGAGAAGAGACAGGATTTCAAGAGTTAGGTTACGATATGGGGTAGCTGACAGTAAAGAGAAACATGCTTTTAAAATTATGTTTCTACTAGAGGCCCGGTGCATGAAAATTCATGCTCTGGAGGGGGCGTCCTCAGCCCAGCCTGCCCTCTCTCACTGTCCGGGAACCCTCAGGGGCAGGAGGTGACCTGGTGATCAGGGGAAGGCGATGCCCCCCATCACACCTCTGCTGCTGCTGCTGCCACTGCCGGCAGCAAGAGCCTCAACTTGCCCTGGTTACCTGAGCCTTGGGCAGCCCTGAGCAATGGGGGTGGGGCTGAGGGCAGGTCTGGTCGCACTGTGCACCTGCTTCGCCACTCTCCCTGCCCTCCCGCTGGGCTGAAAGGACTTGTGGACTCTGGCGGGGCTGAGGGGACTGGGCACCACCATCTTTTTTTTTTTTAAATATATTTTATTGATTTTTTTTACAGAGAGGAAGGGTGAGAGATAGCTAGAAACATCGATGAGAGAGAAACATCGACCAGCTGCCTCTTGCACACCCCCTACCGGGATGTGCCTGCAACCAAGGTACATGTCCTTGCCCGGAATCAAACCTGGGACCTTTCAGTCGCAGACCGACGCTCTACCACTGAGCCAAACCGGCTTCAGCTAAATAAATCTTTATTGCTCAGATTATTACAATTGTTTCCCCTCCCCCCGCCCCCATAGCTCCATTCCATCCGGTTCCTGCCCCACCCTCTGCCCTAACCTTCCCCCTCCCCCCCACACCATTGTCCTCATCCATAGGTGTACGATTTTATTTTATTTTATTTTTTATTTATTTATTTTTTTTATCTCCAAAGGATCCTTTATTACATAGGTGTACGATTTTAATCCAGTCTCTTCCTGCACCCCCCACACCCCTTTTCCCCCTGATAATTATCAATCCACTCCCTTTCTTTGCTTCTGATTCTATTATATTCACCAGTTTATTCTGTTCCTCAGATTTTTTTTTTAAACCACATATCGGGTCTAGTAATAATTAATGTCGTTTTTAACATTCGTTTAAAATCTTGCTTGGCGTTGACTTGTATTGACATAACCTTCAAACACATGGTATCTACAGAACGTGTGAAGTGCAATTAACAAGTTTTGCTTGAAAAAGTTTGTGTTTGGTTTGGTTTTTGTTGCAAAACTAGGGCTAAGAAGATGGCGGATGAAGAGCATATTTAGCACTGCATGCTTTACGAGTTCCAATTAGGAAGAAAAGCAAGTGAGGCTGCAAAAAACATCTGTAGTGCTCTTGGTCAAGATGCAGTTAGCGCCAGAAAATGCCAGCGTTGGTTTGAGAAATTTCGCGAGGGAAATTTTTCGTTAGATGACAAGAGTGGTCGAGGCCGTGTGTCCAATTTTGATCAAGAAGCTCTTCAAGCTCTTTTGGTGCAAAATCCTCAAATTACCCAACAAGAGCTTGCGACAACTTTAAATTGTTCACAAAAAACAATTTCCAATCAATTGCGTGCACTTGGCAAAGTCCAAAAGTTTGGAAAATGGGTTCCTCATGAGTTGACTGACAACAATCGTAATCAAAGAGTCACAATTTGCAGTTCGCTCCTCTCTCGTCAAAACCATTTGCCGTTTTTAGAGCAAATTGTTACCGGAGATGAAGAATGGGTGCTGTATGTTAATTTGAAAAGGCAGCCTCAATAGTTGGACAAAAATGAGGCTCCGCAGCCCATGCCAAAACCTGACTTGCATGCGAAAAATGTGATGTTGTGTGTTTGGTGGAATTTTAAAGGAATTCTTCATTATGAACTTTTACCATCTAACCAAACCATTACAAATGCAGTGTATAGTGCCCAATTGGAAAGGTTAGCCCAAGCTTTAAGAGAAAAAGAACCCGCGCTGATTAATCGGAAGGGTGTAATTCTTCACCATGATAATGCACGACCGCATACTGCAAGAATCACTGCTGAAAAACTGCGCCAGTTGGAATGGGAAGTTCTCCCTCAACCTGCATATTCTCCTGATATTGCCCCTTCCGATTACCATTTGTTTCATTCTTTGCAAAACTTTCTTCTTGGAAAAAAATTTAATAATGAAGAATGCCTCAAAAATGCATTGACCGAATTTTTTGCATCAAAATCACAAGAATTTTACAACAGAGGGATTAAAATGCTTCCTGAGTTTTGGGCACAAGTAGTAGAAAACAACGGCAACTATATTGTTGATTAAATTTTGTTGTATTGTTTAAATCACATGTGTCAAACACAAGGCCCGGGGCCAAATCTGTCCCGCCAGGCCTTGCAATGTGGCCCGCACCGCGCTGTCATCACTGCACTCCGCTGCGTTTCCATCACAATGACAGTTTATGACTGTTCAGTAAACCATTCGGCCCAAGATTTAGGCTGGATTTTAGATTTTGGCCCCTTCTCTGATTGAGTTCGACATCCCTAGTTTAAATAAATTCGATTTAAAAACGACATTAATTATTACTAGACCTAATACATGTTATTTTCAAAACTCCAATGTCAAGAGCAAAACTCTGGCTATTAAATAATAACAACAACTCTGGGGAGGGAGGGTATGTATGGGAGGGGGGGCAATGTTAAAATATGTACACATAATAATTTAATAAAAAAAAGGGAAAAAAAGAGGCAAAAAAAAATAATAATAACAACAATGACAATGCAAAACAACAAAATGAGAAATCAGAATTATGGACATATTAATATTTTTAGCTACTAGCTGAATCTCTTTTGTTGCTTGTGTAGATTTACTCAGAGTCCTTGGACTTGCTGCACAAGACTTTGCAGAAGACTGGAAGCTAACAGATGCTAGCATGAGCAGGAACATGATTAAAGAAGTAGCTTCCACTTCAGTCTTTATTTCTTTAGATGACTCCATGTTGGTACCTCAGTCCCTTGCGTAGCCTTCAGTTTTCTTCTCCCACTTTGCTATCGTCTGTGCAACTCTCAGTCCTTTTGGGTGAAGGGACACAGGAGCTTCTCTGAGTCCATTGTGATGACGGACACAACACTCTGGTACCCGAATTGGCTGCATTGCTCCTTCTTTCCTTTAACTTTGAACCCAGGGTTTGACCCCAAAACACTTTGGGCCTGGCTGCTCCAGGCCTGGATGCTGCTCCAGGCCTGGATGCTGCTGCTTGGGGCCTGGCTGCTCTGGGCCTGGCTGCTTTGGGCCTGGCTGCTGTTGCTCCGGGCCTGGCTGCTCCGGGCCTGGCTGCTGCTTCTCCAGGCCTGGCTGCTCCAGGCCTGGCTGCTCTGGACCTGGCTGCT